ACCGACTCTCTATTACACCAAAACAAACCTGATACTTCATGTCTTTTGCTCGGGTGTGTGATAAAAAAGCCATTGCCATAAAAAAATCCCTATGTGAGGGTTCTAAAGGGAAGGATCAAATTTAGACAAAAAAATGAGTAGATGAAGTGTGCTCTCTGCAAACTGCTTACCAGAGGAAGACGATGGTGTTAATTGGGCTGCATCTGGCTTTGAGATCTCTGGTGGATCAAATTCTTTGGCACAGACATCACTTTCATGCAAATCTATCAGAAACCTCTTTTCAACATCGTCAATCCTAATATAGCATTTATATTCCCTAAAAACAAGGGGTTATCATACTAGTGTCATTTGCAATATCCACTATGATTTACTTGAAACAGGCTTTGGCTCCGTAAATAAGAGCACAAACACCAGGGTCCAAGACTCCCTTTGGACCATATACCACGACTCTGATGCCAGCCTCCAGAATGGCTTGGGTACAGTTAAGACATGGAGGTTTGGTGGTATAGAGAGAACACTTTGTCAGGTCTACTCCAGACACTTTGGCATTTAGTAGAGCATTCAACTCGGCATGAATGTCTTCTATAATCACAGCAATCATACTTGACAACACACTAACCAGATCTATTGTACCTTTGCAGTATCCAAGGCTTACAACACGAAGTGACTCATTGGAAACAATGCAGGCCCCAACTCTTTTACTCTAATAAATAACAGAAGGAACACGCAATGGAATAACAGTAAAAATAACCAACCAACATACTTCATCGGCACTGCCAAGCCATTGAGACAATATTGCTATAGACATGAAGTAGTCGTCCACCGCCAGTGGAAAAAAGGACTGGTTGGATACTTTTGACCCACGTTGTAGCTTTATTCGCTTTCCTTTATACTTTTCTTCTCTTTCGTTCACATATCCAGGGTTTGCAGTAAGCTGGTGGAGATCCACAACAATTGTGAGTGGCTCAGACCTAATGCTGAAGGGCTAGTAACTAAGCACAATAAACATTGAACTACTTACCTTTCATTGCCAGGTTGGTTTTCTTTAATTTTAACGTCTTTTTCCCGGGAGGTGTGCAGTAAACTTCACATCCATCGAGGTTAGTCCATAAGGTGGGGCAAGTGCTTCTTGCAACAGCATCTATCCACTGTGGATCTGAAACTGATATATAGTCAGAGAAAGCTCTGCTACTGCGTAAACTCATGTGAGGGAGCACGCTGGACTATACACTGAAAAAGAAGGGGGAAAAGAAGATGCCCACACCGAGACAGAAAGTTAATCACAACCCCATTTTTACATCTTTGTTTGTATGCTCATGCATTCAAAGGATTGAAACACAAAGATGTAGGGATGGGGCTATGGATGACTTGGTATAGCATCTTCTTGTGTTCCCTTCTTGTTCATGATGTGATATCCATTCAGAGTCGATACACGCCCTTCGTTGAGACTTCTTGTGCCTCCAAGTTACACAGAGCAAGCGGACCCGGCGGAAAGCCTGTGCAAATTTGCATATTGGCTTTGTTCACTTGCTTAGTTTCACGCAATCACTTCTGAACGCAGTAGTTATACGAAAATGGCCTTTAAGAAAATGAAGCCAGTGTAGCGATGAACCTGTTGGTATCGCTGTTTTGTTGTCTCGTTGCGCGTAGTAGCAGAAAACGTGGTAACAGACGAACGGACAGACAGACACTCACCACTTAACCCTCGCTGCGCATGATGCGCGCTGGAGACGCATTCGTTCATGCGTGATGCGTGCCAATAATGTCAGAACGATGATTTACTTTGGGGCCGAGTTATATGGCGCTACTATAATACTAGTTATTCTTCTTACTTTTTCCGGACCATTCCTCATCAAGCCATCTGTATTCGAGGGTGAAAACTTCAATTATGTCGGATGACGCAGGGCTCGGCGTAGCATTGGAGTTCGAAGGCTTCAGAGGTGACGCAATGCACAATCCATGGCCACCCTATTACCAAATAATTATAGCTAAATGTATCTCAAAGACGTGGCATACCAGAACGCCTCTTTTCTTTGCTTCGCTCTGGCTTTGATAGGCCGCAAGAATACTTAGGGAATGAAGAACATCGGGCCGCCCTGGAATCCTGGGCGCTGGATCCGTCGCCGTAGTCATCCGTCGACCCAGCACGCAACGCGCGCACGACAAAATAAGGAACATTTATTATAATGCTAAGAATAGAGAGGACACAACAAGTCCCATACAAAATACGGGGGAAATAATTACCCTCGGCGCATGACCCTTGCGCGCACGCCAATTATACCCCCTCGGCGCATGCGCAGCGAGTGTGTGTGTGTGTGTTGTGCGCGCACCGGCCTACCAGCGGATTCAGAACTACGCGAGCCAGAAAGACAAGTGATTGTGCATACTGAGTATGCACAATCACTTGTCTTTCTGGCTTGTCTGGCTCGCGTGGCTGAAATCTGTATTGCCTCTCCCAGTATATACTTTTTTGTGAAAAGCACTGAAGTCGGCGCACTGTGACGCACACGCGTAAGTAAACGCATGCGCAGTACCACTAATTATTGATGGACTTGGTTTATTAACCCTCAGCGCGCATGCGCAGCGAGGGTATGTGTGTCGTCTGTCTAGTCTTCTGTAGCTGTCTGTCTGTTACTCTTCATCTCACTTCTCGAGTGTTCGTTCGTCTCACAAAGGATACCACCTACTGAACGGGCAATGAAAATCAGAACTTATGAGCGGTTTTGAAAACGCTCCGTTGCAAAGCTAGAGCGCTTCCACCATTGTATATACGTAGTCGGCCATTTTTTATCGCTGCGGAAAGTGCGCATGCGCTTATAGTTTGAACAGGCGTGACGACACGTAGCTACGTGCGAGAATACAACCCGGAGTAGTTGCCTCATGCTAACGCGCTCGGCAACAACACAGTTGGACAAAGGTGTAGCTATAATCTGTGTAGATTGATGAAAACAAGCTGGGGTGTTAGGGACTAATCTTATAATGTAGAA